GTTTTCAGTTTTTTTCAACTCCTTGGCGCCAGTACACAGGCAACTGCTGTCTAAGTGCTTTTCTACTGGTTGACCTTTGCCCTTACAGTAAACCCACTTTATCTGAAGATAGCTATGATCCCTCAAGATCTTCTTTTTCATGTCTACGGGTTCATAAGGTCAATATGAAACAGAATGGCCATCACTCTATATCTGCCTGTGCGGTCTGACCGCTCTTGAAGCTAAACAGCACCCGCCTCTCCTCCTGTGTATAGAACAGTCCCTTTTACAGAGCAATGTAGGTCACTCAGTGTTCTGAATAGAGATCCTTAGGGAAGTAGGAGCTGAAACATAATACCCACTTGCAATTTTTTGGCTTTTAGAGATCTGCCTAAATGGAGGTTGGCTTACTGTCTTTGCGATGAAAAAAGTTTTGGTTTCTGAATGTCGAAGGTACATTTGCCCAAACAGAGGCTTAATGAGGACACCTGAAATAAAAAACCTACTTAGGAAGCATTATCTGTCAAAGCTGCAGGCTGAACCAAGACAAATAACTGTTTTTGTACATTGCTTCACAAAAATATTGATACCCTTTGAACCTTTTCATATTTTGTCAGCATAATTCAAAAAAGCATGGAGAAGTGAGGGTGGAGGGCATTAACACAGGACAAAGTAGCATAAAATTGTGAAGTGGAAGCAAAAGAAAGTCATTTATTTTTTCACAAACACAAAACTGCTGACATGATTTGAATTTAGTCCCTTTTACTGTATTCCTTTCAATAAAATCCATTAAACTGGTTGCCTTGAGATAGTACGTAAGTAAAAAAGTAAAGTTTATTTATAAATTGCTTTTCCCAGACGTGAAGTCACAAAGCACTGTACAATAGAAATTAACCTTAAAACCATACAAAACATAAAACCAACATAAGAAACACAATAAAATCAAAAGATAAAATTCGAGGAAAATAAAAATGTTTTTAGTTGCTTCTTAAAAACTTCCACAGAATCAGTAATGGCAAGCTGTTTCACAACCTTGGGGCCACCGACTGAAAGCCCTGGTTTCCTTTAGTTTTTAACCACATTTGTAAAACAACCAAAAGTTTCAGAGTTTTGAGAATGAAGACCAGGAGCAGCAGAATATTTAGTTAAAAGTTGAAAAAGATAATCAGGAGCCTGGGCATGTAATGTTCTGTATGTCAGTACAAGTACTTTAAAATAAATTCTAAAACCAACTGGAAGCCAATGTGGTGAATATAGAAGAGGAGTTATATGACAGAATTTACTGGATTGAGCGAGAAGTCCCATATGAGATGTCCCATAATTATTAAGCATAGTCCTATTGTATGGACTTTAATTTTAAATCC